CTCCCAATAGTCCGGATTTATCGTCCTGCGATTATCATTTGTTGGATCATTAAAAGAAGCACGTGGAGGACAGAGATTTGATGACGATGTTGCTGTCAAAACGTTCATGCGCGATTGGTTGGTTACAACTACCTTCATTTTATGATAGCATTTTATGACAAAAAACTATCTATCCATTGGGAAAAATATATTTCTAAATCCAGAGATTATGTAGAGAAATGACTTTGTATGTTTGTATTTTTATGATATTTCAATAAATTAAAAAAAAATAATTTCAGTTTATATTCGATTCAATCTCCTATGTATATGATAAAGCGCTCATTTGATAGGACGTCCTCAGAAGGTGTTTAGGACATATTATGGACATGTTTAAGACATTTTTAGGAGCTTATTTATTAGGGTTAAGGACATTCTAAAATTTTCATCTTAGTCTCAAACATATCTCGTATGTCCCAGGATATTCAGGATCATCCTGAGAAAGTCTTGTGCTGTTAGGAAATTAATAACTATAATTAATAGAAAAAAAATACATAAATAAATTGTATTGTAGTATAAACTGTATTGATCAGTGAATAAATAGAATACAATATTAATGAAGATAAAATAACTTTTTAATTGCTTAGACTTATAAGTTATCTAGCATATATATTAGTTGGCTTGTTTTCTATATATTATTGTATATTGCCTTGTTTTCTCATGAATATTTAGTGTGTGCCTCAAACACTCTTAATATGAAAAATGGTAAAATATATTTCCAAAAAATAAGTGATGATTATTTACAGGGAATGAAAAATCTCGAGCGTTATGAATAACAAAGAATAATATAGTGATTTATAAAAGAGATTAATTAAATTATCAATTATTAACCCTCCTATGGTAAGGTAAATCTTCAAGACATCCGGAAAAGTAGGATTGGATCTGACTCGGTATCATTTTATTCATACTTCGTCTTAATCAATATAAAATGAAGTAAATAATATACATTATAAAATTTCTTTCTCCGTTAAACAGCGAATGAACTCTGTAAAAATGTGCATCTACGCGTAAATTATAATATTTTATGTTTACGTATAGACAACGTAAACTATTGTATAAAGTATCATCTATGCAGACTACATAGACAATTAACCAATGTGATTCAGGTCGCATCAATTAAAACACCATCATTCGCAGCGGAAATTCTCGCGACAGCCAATTAATAGCTGCGTTCAGCAGAGAAAGCAGCTTTGCAACTGTTGTAAAATACGATTGATTCTTGCTTTTGATTCCTTATAGATCTAAACGTATAAACTATTTAAATTTTACAACAGTTGCAAAGCTGCTTTCTCTGCTGAACGCAGCCATTATATTTTTTTCCGTAATAACCTCTTTCGAAAACATTAATTAGTTTAACGATGCTTTCATCGTGCGGTGTATTGAACAAATTTGAATTATGTATTGAAATCATAAAACATAAGTTCTTTATGCGATATTTGTAAAAATGAAATTTTAAAGCTCAACGTTTATATTAATATAAAAATTATATTAATCTTAAAATTTAGAAATTAAGGGGAGAAATCCAATTAGAACGAGGAAAAATAAATTATTTATTTAAAAAAAAATACGTATGGATAGTTCAAAACATGTATAAATAAATGTTCAAGTTTGAAAAATGTACAAGAATTTTTTTAAAGGAAAAAAATGCTTGTACATTTTTCAAACTTGAACATTTATTTATACATGTTTTGAACTATCCATACGTATTTTTTTTTTCCAAAAATATTTCAAAGTGATGGACATATGAAGCGTCCCATTTGGCAAGTTCGCGTGCGAGTTGCTCAGCTGCTGGACAAATGGCGTCCGTGATATTGATCCTACAATAGTCAGCGCAAAAAATTCTTATTATTTATACCCATAATTCGTAGTTGAAACCTAAAAAAATCAAAAATCAAAAATTTTGAAAGTAAAACGCTTTTAAAAATAAATTTCCATTTTTTGACTTTTTTTCACAATTTTTGCAATAAATAAGTAATTTTGTATAATTTTCACAAACATTTAGGTTCACCAACATTGTACTGATGTCACGAAGTTGTGTACAAAATTTCAGTGTGATCGGTTGAATAGTTTTTAAATTAGAGTTCCAGCAATGCAGAAAAATGCAGTTTTGAGAAAAACGCGTTTAAAGTTTCGACAAGTAAAAAATGCGTGATCTATAATTTAATCAGCAATTCCAGCGCCATACAACAGTTCTTCTGCTTCCTTATAAAATTCGTTCTGTTCCAATAATTGTTTTTTTCGGGCCTTTCGAGCTTCTTTAGAGTATAAAGAGCTGCGCCGCTCTTGTCGAGATATCCGATGTTCGTCGACGTTCTTAGCCTAGTTCTTGGTCTGACTCCCAATAATTATTTATAACTTCATCATAAATTATAGAATGGAAGAATATTCTTTGTTGAAGATTCCAGCAGCGATGTAGGATGCAATTTCAACTATTTTCAGCCCAGAATTAAGATACTTAGGAGCTAAACGCCAAATCGTAGAATTGAAACTTTCATTATCACTAAATTTTCACTATCTTGAAACCGAGGCCTCGATTCCCAGGTTCTTCAAATTTCACATTCTGTTTACATTTACGACAAACAAGGAGCCTCTGTCAAGGCTGTAAAAACGGTGAATATTTTGATCAAACGATAGCCATGCAATGGATTCCAATGAATACTAACGTTGGAGAGTTTTCTTGCACTCGCATTTTTATATCCTTCTTCATTTTCGCTCTTTTTATTTGAAAACTGATTATCATAGAACTTTCTTTGTGGCTTCGATGTTTGTTTTATGTATATATCTTTTGGATAGAACATTTTGAATATGCACTATCGTTCTGTACAGGCCGAATTTCGGAGCTAAACTGAGAACAGTTACTGCTCAATGCGAGCAACGGTCTCAACTAAAACGTATACAATAGAAACATATAAAAGATCCGAATATTCTGAAATAATGGTAGGATTTTAAACGAAGGGACACTGAAAGGTCTTCACCCCGGGCAAGTGCGTATACCTGCTGCGCGCTATTAGAGTCTCGACGCTGCTCAAGATATTTGTTGCGTTCAGAGGCTATAACTTCCGAACAGTTGCGAATTTTGTTTTAAAACTTTGAGAACATATTCTTACAATGTAAAATTAACATTTTATGCAAAAAAATTCAATTTTTTGAAGATTCTAATTGGATTTCCTCCCTTAAATTTTTGAATACAACTCGTTGTCTCGAATATGCCATGAAAAATAAATAATGAATTTAATGAACTGAATTTTATTTTAATAAAGAAAAAAAAATAAATATTATGTACATTATGCAATATTATGTATTGCAGCAACAAAAGCATAAGTTTTTATACTTTCCTTAATTTATATATATGTATATGTATAAAATCCTTAGAATTTTGATAATTTACAAACATTTCCTAAAAAGTTAGAGTCCACATAATTTATGGATTTAATACTTACATAATTGAAATACTTTGCATTTAATACTTACATAATGTAAATTATATTTATATAATTTTACTTACATAATACTTATACAATTTATATTTATAATGAGAATGTGTATGTGTGCCCACATAGCTAAAACATTCAAAATACATCATATCCTGAAGATGCCGTATATTTTTGTAGCTTATCCTTAGACATATTTTGGATAAGTCTGTTTTGTGGGTAAAGACTATTTTATAATTTAATTTTTAATTCTTTTATATTGTATAAAACATGTTAGTAATGTATTTTATAATATAGTCTAAGATAACTGTCCCTATTAATATGCTCTTTAGCCAATTTGCTTATTACTGAATTAATTATTAAATATTATAGCTTTTATCTGCTTGTAATCAATATCGGTTTTTCAACTATTTCTTTTTCTTATAATATTTCTTTAATTTAAAAAAATGTTAGTTCTTTATAATGCTTTTGACACAAATAGAAAACATGTTTTTGTCCCTATTAATAAGTCCTCTAAGCGGCGATGGCCCTATTAATGCGCCCCTAATTTGTGTGCCTATCCACATTTGACTCATTTTGATATATAGTATAATATATTATACTAAAACAGTAATAAATTTAAGCTAAAGGTAATAAATTTAAGCTAATTGTTTGTTAATATATTACATAAATAATTATTTCAATTATATTTATTTCAAAATACACTCATAACACAACGTTCTCAGCTCCAATATAGGACATATTAATAGGGACAAGCTTAAAATCTTGCGGTACGTATTACTGGATTCACATAAATTCCTCTTATCTTTCGAAAAACATTAAAAATACTTTAATACTCAAAAAATAAAATATTATCTTCGGTATCGTATGCATTAACAATTTAACTTAACAAAAAAAAATATTTTTTCTTATTTATTTGTGCTAGTTTTCTTTATGACTTATCGAAATACAAAAGCATATTAATAAAGACAGGCACAGTAATTGGGACAGTTATCTTACATAATCTATATTGTTTACGTGACAAAAGACAATGTAAATATCATATAAATTTCACGTAAATAATCCGTGTAGACATAATCTGAAAATTTACGGCACAACTCTGTACCGTGATAAAAATAGACGAAGCCTGCGAGATTTGACTCTCATTATCATAAAAAGGTTAATACTGAAAATATGTGAATTGATTTGTATTCAATTGCACTAATTGTCAGTGTGAACCAATGTATTGCACTAGTTTTTTCAGTGGGAAATATTATTTGTCTCCAAACTTCTTTATCACTTCATAATGTGTATTGTTAGCACTTGTCGACGTATCCCACTACTCTCTACAATCCCCACCACGTGCTGTCAGCATGACAGTTTCGTCTGCAATCCGGCAGCTCTTTTTTAGAGATAGTTCCGGACAGTTCATGATCGTTCGTCGATTTGTTCGCGTGCTGGATACAGGTCGTGTATATCATCCGCAGGATAGTCCTGTGAAATTCCTGGTGTGATTTCTCAACTCCGTGATCACGGTATCGTGACTTCATATCATTAAACGACAACGACGATAGAAAACGATGGCACGCTCGTCATTTGATCGTCAAAGAATCCAATGTCGCGCGTTGTCATGAACGTGGCTGTAGCATTCGGGCTATAGACCCGTCGAGGCTTTTTCTCCCTCTCTCTTCGTCTCTGGCTATTTCTCAATGGTCTCAGTCTCTCCTTCGATTGCTTTCGGTTCCTTTCATGGCAAATGGTTCTTCGTGATCGCGGACCATCGGCGGACTTACGAATCCTCTTTGTGCGTTGTCGCTCGCAACAACGCGGTACTTGTACATGCGATGGATGAGGATAAACACCTGCACGCGACGCGACCTCGTTAAAGACTTTGACTCGTGTGACGGTAATAATTCGTGAGTACAACGGAGATCTCCAAAGAATTCACGCGTCCACCGACGTGCTGGAAAATTGTCGCCTCCTTGACAAAAATCGTGTTGTACACAAATATAACGCAGGTTTGACGACGAAGGTGGACAAGTAGGCAACGTAACATTAATCGTACGTGTCTTCGGTTTGTTTATCATCTTGACTGTGTTCGGTTTGGGCGCTCGCGCGTTGTAAAGTTGTGTTCTGATATGTATATATTATAATGCCAGTACTGAACTGCAGTATAAGATTGTATTATACGTAAAGCAGTGTCTACAATGAGTAATCTTAAGTTTTAAGCTTTAAGACTATTCTTAATAGTCTTAGGGCGCTTTCCTGCAAGATGCTTTCTATTTGGTGACATAAGTTGATACAGGTTGATAAATGTCGTTCTTTGTTATTCACGCAAAAAAGGAATGATGCTTGTAAAAAATTGTGTGAATAGAAAGCACCCACAGTGTAACACAATGATCACTTCATCTTTGTTTAGCATTGATAAACAATAAGGATGTAATGATTCATTGTGTATACATGTACATTATTAATGTGTTCCATTTTCATGCTCACACGCTGTAAGCCCCAGTTCATTCTTGTATCTATCAAATATTAAACAAGGACAAATGATGCTTACAGCATTATAAGCGCAAAACGGAACATTGGGTGTCTTCCATTTAATAACGCAAGTCGACACAAATATCATTCTGTCTTTGTTACTCATAGAATGCAAAGAAAGAAAGAATGACATTTGTGTCGACTTATGTGACTAAATGGAAGTAACCATTGTGTCATCTCTGTTTCTTGTTGGAAAGCATTCTATGACATACCAAAAATTGAAGCAGTAAGCAAATTAACATTTTGAATTTGCAATTATGTTATTGCCTTTGTTGTGATTGTGTGACCAATTTGCTTACTGCTTAAGTTTTTTGTGTGCCATAGCCTTTAAGCAATAAAAAATTGGCTAATCGTCGATTATTTTCATATTCCACTGTGATTAGTCAATTTCTTTCTCAAAACTTAAAGTCTAAGTTTTATATACAATCAATAGGAAATAAAGATCCATAACGATTGGATCTTTGATGCTTAAATAATTCCATGTGAATTTATATATACTATATATGTACGTATGAACATACATATATACTATATTTGTAGTCATTTGAACTATGCGCCGATTTAATATTTTTCAAACTTTTAATTCGGCGCGTAGTTCAAATGACTACAAATAATATATATGTATGCACATATATAGTATATACAAAAATTCACATGAAATTATTGAAGCATTAAAGACTAGCCAACTTCGATTATTATGGGCCTTTGTTTCTTATTGGTTGTCACATATAGGATCTAATTAGATTCTTAGGCCCTGCGCACAATAACAGGAATAAAGAATTAGGAATAAAGAATAAACAATTTTAACCTATCAGAAATCGGATACATCGAAATACACGGTTTCTGATAGGTCATTTATTCTTTATTCCTAATTTCTTATTCCTTCTATTGTGCGCATAGTCTTATTGTTTAGTTTTCCATCTTAAAATCTCATTGTAGATCATTGAATTATAAATTTCAGTACTGGTAGCGTGAATCAGAACACAGTCTAAGCTTCTACCTTTCTTCCACAAGTAATAAGTGATGAGGATAGTTCTGTGTATGGTGATTTCTTTATGACCAATTTCTTTATCTCTAGATAACTTTATGAAAAATTTCTTAAATAATAGATAAATAAGATATTTGAAAGATATCTGGAAGACATCTGAAAGATATCTCATGGATAAAATTATCAGCAACTTATCTAGAGGTGAAAAAATTAGCTATCAGAAATTTATCCAGTGCTCCAATTTTGACTCTTAGGCTATATCCACATAACTTGTATAGCCACATAAACATATGCATAAAGAAAATTATCCGATCACATTTTACGTGCAACTTTGTAAGAGAAAGGCGATTGGATAATTTTTTTATGCATATGTTTATGCAGCTATGCAAGTTTATGTGGATATACCCTTAATGACAGTTTAGTGTTGTTATGGCTATGTTCCAAAATTTACTGCTAAAGTACTAAAAATCTATAGTTTACGTCACATGCATTATAGATTTTCAGTACTGGCAGTAAATTTGGGACACAGCCTTTATTGTTGGTGTGCAGCTTTTTATCATATTTATCAGATATTATATATTATAATATCTTATACTATAATATCTGCACAATGATAATATAACGATACTGAATTCAACTGCAAGACGTACGATCATTCAGTAAACATCTATTTCTCATATAAAAAACTTATAACTAGTTAGAAACTGTAAAGATATTGTATAAAATTATAAACCCTTATATAAGTTCTGACAAGTCTTACGAGAACATATCACGAACTTTATGATTCTGCTTAAAATTGACTCGGAAGAAACGAGGCTTACAGTGCGTGAGCGCTCAAACCGAACGCAGTTTAGCTCCAATATAAATACTACAATACAGTCAAGAGCGATATATTCTGACAGCATATGAAATTTCATCCAGATCCGTTCGCGGCGGGATACGGGACAGAATGCTCGCCAGTCAGAGTTAGAGTCTCACCGAGAGTCCGAAGAGTCTTCGAGTGTCCCTCCTCACGCGCGCGATCGATATTGCCCTTGAACTAACGTGTCGCGCCTTATTATAAACGCGCGCGTGTGCTAATTAGCGAATCGGAGTTGCAGCATACGCGCCGCGCGTATCACTCGTATACGCACGCGGGCTCGTCCTTCGCACGTATATTTATATCAGGGCATGCAGTATCGAACTCAAAGTAGACGCCTCCGACAGCTTGCGGAGGCGCGTCCGCATTTAGGCGCGCGGCCTCGTGACCTGCAATTTTCGCGCCGAAGCTGAGGCTTGATAGTGCCGAAAACATCACTCTTGCAAGTGTATGTGCATGTGCGGTACGTTGTACGTTCGTCCGTCCGCCCGCTTGGCCGTCAGTCACATCGTCCGTATAGTGTTTCTTCCATCATGAGTGTCTGCTGTACGACGTGAAGTGTAGCAATCGGCCAACCGAGCGCGAACGTTTTCGCTTCGCCGTGAGATTAGCTGCTGGCGCATCCGCTGCCGGAGTTCATCTCGGATGTTTTGGTAGCTGACTTTGTTCCCTTTTCTCTCTCTCCGTAACGGAAACACGTCGGGTAAAAATCCGTTGATCATCCCGCGCCGCGCTGAGAGGATTCGGACGTGTACGCGTCATAGTTGATCCCACGACGCGTCGACGATCACGCGCGCGCACCTATAAAGACAGCCACTCCGGATGCTGTTTCGGGTAGCGTCAGGGAACAATGATGTCACGTACGGAGACATAAGTCATTTCCTCGCGGCAGGTGCGTCTGAATCCTCGGAATCTCACGCGGAATTACGCGCGCCTTTCTGTCGTTCTTCACTCTCCCTTCGCATTCGTCAAATATGATCGATCCCGTAGTATTTCTAAATTCCATCGAATACACGTAAAAATGTAAATCCCCGCCGCGATCATTGACATTCTACGTCGTATTAACATTTAAATTTAAATTTCTTCTTCCTAAAGTGATTACGTTTATATCGTATTTAGGACGGAACATTGATTGGATCAACGCAGCACGACTTCCTTGGGAGCTTCTTGCAGTCGATGCTACGTCTTTAGGAACGATTCGATAGTTTATTTTGCTCGAGAAAGAGGATAAAAGAAAGGATCAGTGCAGAAGACTCTAAAAGCGCGCTAATTGAAACAATGGATTCGGAGGAGGAAACGCTTTATGATGATGTTGACTCCGGCAACGAGTCCAGCGGCGATGACGTTGATTTTGCTATGGAAATAGAGTCTGGTAATCCACGGGAGCGAGCTACCGATGTCGACGAGTATCCCTTTGAAGTACTTTCCACAGAAGAAATTGTACAGCACATGGTTGACTCCATAAAGGAAGTCAACACTGTTGTCGAAGTAAGCTTCATAATTTAAGGATAAATTACAGTAAAAATTCCAATTCAGGTCCTAGTGAATAAATCAATTGAATGTATAAAGTGAATCAGCACGGAGTGTAAGAATACAATTTCTTATTTTATTTAAAGGTGTATATAATACATATAAACGTTTCGATCTGTGTTTTGGATCCTCCTCGGTATAAATAATTCGCAATCTTTAATAATTACAATTACAGTGTGTAATTATATTTACATAAATGGTCAGATGAATATATTTTTGATGCAAAAGAATTCGCTAGAAAATATATATTCTAACCATTTATGTAAATGACATAATTGTAATTATTATAGTTTGTGTATTACTTATACTGAGAAGGATCCAAAACGGATCAAAATATGTTTACACAAGTGAAATGGAAAGTTTTAGGAGTCTAATATAGGCTATTACATTTGTCTGATATTACGTTTGTACGATAAAGATTTTAAATTTATTGATTGACTAAAGAATAGAAAGATCCGACAACTTTTCTTTCTTACAGCCAATCAATAGGCTTAAAATGTTTTGTCGTACGACAAATGTAATATCTACCTGCAGCGACGAAGTGACCCTGATTCTACATTATAGTACTGAGGATCCTATAGTATCTTCGCTTAATTATAGAACTTATGTATTGTTTAAAAGAAAGAGAAGTTTCATGGTATATATTATTTACTTTTTACCCATTTTGTTGATTAGAACAAGAGCATTGAGTCAGATTCAATCCTACTTTTGTGGATATCTTAAAAATTTATCATAGGAAGGTTAATTGTAAATTAATTGCAAGCTTATTGACAACGATCAATCTGAAGTATTAATTAATTAAATAATTTTTAAATTAATGTTTTAGAATGGCTATTGGAAAGCAAGCTTGCGATCAACTTGCAATGTAGAATCAGGAGATCAATTACATCTTGAAATGAGATAAAAATTACAAAATATTGTCCAATGAAATTATAAATATTCTACTGAATTAATACTTTAACTTTTGTAACTTTTGTAACTTTTCATCTAATTTTAAGATACACAATCGATCTTTAGTGAGATACAATTGAAAAACACAGGTAATAGGAAATAATAGGAAATTCCAGAAACCCTGTATATCAGAATACATGATTTTTGATAGATTGAAATCTGTTTTTTTCCCCTGTTTCCATTACTTGTGTTTTTTAATTATGTTTTAGGTCTTTTTTTTTCTCGAAATAAGTTATAGATAGACAACATTATATCTATTTACCTGTATGTGTTGATTTGTAGATACCAGCTACTACCACACGTATTTTATTAAATCACTTTAAATGGGATAAAGAAAAATTGATGGAACGGTTTTACGACGGTGATCAGGAAAAGTTGTTTGCCGAGGCACGCGTCATTAATCCGTTTAGGAAGGGTCCTTTAATAAGCAGGAGCCGATCCTCCCAAAGTTCGTTAGTAAATGTACGTGTATAGTTTATTTCAATTATATTTTGTTATCGATGAGTCACTGCAAAAATTATGCTTTACCTATGTAATACAGCCTAAAAGACCGACAAACGGAACGGAGGAATGTGGCATCTGCTTCATGATCTTGCCATCCTCAGTAAGTCTATTTTATCAACTGTTTAAAAAATAGTAATAAAATAAAATATGCTTAAAAAAATATATATTATAAAAACCATTAGATGATGACTGGTCTGGAATGTGGTCATCGTTTTTGTACCGGTTGTTGGGGTGAATACTTGACAACTAAGATCATGGAAGAAGGAGTTGGACAAACAATAGCATGTGCTGCTCACGCGTGTGACATTTTAGTCGACGATGCCAGTGTTATGCGACTTGTCAAAGATTCCAAAGTTAAATTAAAATATCAACATTTAATCACCAATAGCTTTGTTGAAGTAAATATTTGACGAATGTAATTAAATTTATTGGATGTTATTAACATTTCACACATCTCTCTTCTTTGCAGTGCAATAGGTTACTGAGATGGTGCCCTTCTCCCGATTGTAATAATGCCATTAAGGTGCAGTATGTAGAAGCGAGACCAGTTACTTGCAAATGTGGACATATCTTCTGTTTCCACTGTGGCGAAAACTGGCACGATCCTGTAAAGTGTCATTTACTCCGCAAGTGGATCAAAAAGTGCGATGATGATTCTGAAACATCAAATTGGATCGCTGCTAACACAAAGGAGTGTCCCAAGTGTAATGTTACTATCGAAAAAGATGGCGGATGTAATCATATGGTTTGCAAAAATCAAAATTGTAAAACTGAATTTTGTTGGGTATGTCTTGGACCTTGGGAACCGCATGGTTCTAGCTGGTATAATTGCAACCGTTACGATGAAGAGGAAGCTAAAGTAGCCAGGGATGCGCAAGAAAAATCCAGATCAGCTTTACAGAGATATTTATTTTATTGCAATAGATATATGAATCATATGCAATCACTAAAGTTTGAAAGTAAATTGTACGCTAGTGTAAAAGAGAAGATGGAAGAAATGCAGCAGCATAACATGTCGTGGATTGAGGTATAATTATAATAATATAATAATAAATAATTGATTTTAAGTTAGTTGAATTAAATTTATGTACCATTATTATTTATATATATTTTAGGGATGCACCGGATATCCGGTAATTTTATGTAAAAGTCCAGTGCATCTCTAAATATATTTTATATATATTATACAATAATAAGATTGGAAAGATCGTTTATGTGAATATATTACTTAAATACGAGAAAGGTCATTTGACGATCAAAGTTAGATATTAAACTAATACATACGTATTCTTTAAATGAATTTATCTTAGAAATATGATTGCGCATCATTACTATACTACTTATTGAACTTTCAACATATAATTTATTTGAAATATTATATTAATCTCTCCAAATTTAATTACATACATTTTAAAATCTATAAAGAACTCATTACGAACAATATTATGTCGAAAGTCGAACCCGGATCTCTAGCATTCCGTGCGAGCGTTCTAAGGGCCTCTTTCGCTAACTCCGATTAATGCTAATTGATGATTAACTCAATCATCACGATTATCAACGTGATAACTAAACACAGTCTCAGAAGAGGAAGGAAGAGGAGACTTTTGGTACATTAAATTGCTGTTGGCACTTCTGCGAGTCGTAAATTAATTTACAACTAAATTAATTTACCTAACCTAACCAAAAGTTGATGAAAGGGGCCCTAAACCTTTAGATCACCGAGGCCTTAACAATATTCTTTGCAATAACCAATATGTATAGAAAGTTATGCATTGAAAGGCGAGTGTGTATAAACAATAATAAGAATGGAATAATATTTACATATACAATGATTAATAAAAGTTTCTAATGACTAATTTTATCGCATTGCTTAGATAATAAATCTTTACAAATAAAGATTTAATATATTGGTATTTTTTTAATGATATAGGATGCTTTCTGCTTTAGTGACACAAGTCGACAAATATTGTTCCATGATGCAGTCCTATCTTTCATGAATAATAAAGACAGAATAATAGCTGTGTTGACTTGTATCACCAAAGCTTACCATATTCTAATATTTAAAATATTGTATTCTTAAATTGATTATAACAAGAATTATTTATTAAGAATTATAAACTAAAAAACATTAACAAAAATTCTTAATAATTATTGTTGATCGAAAACTTTTGGTAGCCACTGTACATACATATTTGTCAACATTATTTTGTAATATATCAAATTACTCTCTTTTCAGGTACAATTTTTAAAAAAGGCAGTTGATATTTTGTGTTCCTGTAGACAGACTCTCATGTACACTTATGTTTTCGCATATTATGTGAAAAAGAACAATCAATCTGTGATTTTTGAAGATAACCAAAAAGATCTGGAGAGTGCCACAGAGTGCCTCTCTGAATATCTTGAAAGGGATATCACGAGCGAAAATCTTGCAGATATTAAACAAAAGGTTCAAGATAAATATAGGTAAGGATTATGCATTATTCTTAAAAAAATGAGATATTTTGTTTATATTCTTGTCAAAATAATATTATATTCGTGTGTGTGTGTGTGTGCTTTTAAAGATACTGCGATAGCCGAAGAAAAGTGCTTTTAGAACATGTCCACGAAGGGTATGAGAAAGAATGGTGGGATTACAAGGAATAGAGGATTCTTGCTAGTTTCATTTTTTGGGGTGATACGAGTCCTCTTCCTTCCCACCTCTGCCCCAACTGTGATAAACCAAGAAAGAGTTAACAAGAGACAAAAATGGAGCATGTCACAAAGTGATGAACGTGTTGTATGCACTTTATACATAATATGCTCTGTGGCACAACACCTATAATGTCGTTTATGATTAATATTGAACTCAAATTATTAAAATTCAATCCGATCACAAACAAGTTGATTGGACAATATTTTGATTTGCGCTTGCTGTGTATTGTACATCATTGTAGATTATTGATTCTTGATAAAAATGTCCCATTGTTTTAGGAAATCTTAAGAAAAGTTATATTCATTAAGACGAACGTGTGTCATTATTCGCAATATAGCATATTGCGATGTAAACGTGACTTCGCTAAAAATTTACTATTTTATTTAGCATATTTTATTGATGTTAGGCGAATTGAAAGCTTTTGAATCCTGAAAACTTATTTTCTTCCTCCCTTAATATTTTAAGAATAACTGTTTAAAATAAGTTAGATACAATTCAAATAAATTATCCCAACTGTTTTATTCTATTTTGGACCACAATACGTCCAGGCTACAACTGCCAATGTTTAAAAACACTAAATTATCTATATGCATATCGTCAGTTCTATGTATTCATGTTTGATAGCTCTTCTCATTCTTGCTTGTATATTATTTTCATAAAAGATGCTTAAATACAGAATATGTTTCATTATCAAGATTCCATTATAAAGATTCTGCCTTTTTTTCTGTATATATTTTATTTTTTTTACAAATAAATTATTTACAATATCAATTAATTATATTCATATTGACATTGTGCAGATTAAAGGGGGCCAAGTTTGTGATATCTTTCACATGTACCATATTCCATCTCTGCATGTAAAAGTAGAACACTACAATTATCGACTTGCAAGAAAATACTGTTACTACTTTTTCTTTTTGTAAATTAATATTTTATATATATTGTAAATTTTTTATCTTGCATTGTGTCCCGATTTTTAATACTTCATACATATGCGTATGTGATATAAGTATATAATTAAGATCTACATAAATTTTATTTAGTCATTTTCCAATTTAATTAGAAATATCTTTATTATCGTGTTTTGTATTGTTATTTTATTAGATCAGTGTTCCTTTTTTTATTTAATCTGATTGCTATCTACATGTATAACGCTGACGATATGTTTAGCTAACTAATTGAAGGTTAACTACAATAAGATAATTACTTATAATTGTCAATATAAGTGGCAGACGAAATGAGTTTTCCGTTTGTACAGTTAATATAGTATATATATCCACACACAAATGCATAATACTTAAACATAGTAATATCAATAATAGTAAAATAGATATCTAATTTTGAAGATTTATTGAACCAAAATTGTTGATTCTTACTATTATGCACATTAGGATCTGAAGTAAAAGTTGAAATGCAGTTGTTTTCTGTACAGTCGCAAAATTTGACTAGATATAAGGAAATTGTTAGATATACTCGCCAGAATTTTCCCTCTAGTTTGTGATTTTGTAATCTGTATTCATTCAATTCAGTAAACTACGACAGCGTATTGAAGAACTTTATCCTGTATAAAAAAATAAAACTCGTAAATGTTCAAAATTTCTTGTATATAACCCAAACTTGAACTTCTAGGCCAAGTCTTCGTATTCATGAAAAAAAATGTGTGGCATATATGAAATTAAAACGTTTAGCTGTCAAACTATCAAACATATCCGAAAAAGCACCGTAAGTAGACAATTAATTGGATTTTAATTGGAATAGATTACACAAATTTGTGTCAAGAATTTCATTATCCATTCGTATTTAGTATTTATGAGTATTTTAATGGCAAAACTTATACAATAATAAAATAAACTATTTTACTAGTAAAGTGTAATATATATAGAAAGACCGTGATTTTACTTTTGTAGCTATAAATCAATACGTACATTATCATGCATTATCATGTTTCTAAGATCCTTAGGGATAGATCATTGTTCGGTGTTGTCTTTTGTTAACATATATAATTATAAATATATAATATATATTGTAAATACTGCAATATATATACATACATCCATCCACATATATACATACATACACTGTCTTAAGTGATTAGATAAATCTTAAGTGATTTAGATCTCAGTAGTGTCATGAGTATGAAAATACCTATGTATGAGATTTCAATGATGAAAATGATGGTTAATATATTTCCTTGGCAGAAATGTATCCTCCAATTTGGTTATAAAAAATAAAAAAAGGCAAGTTATTATCCCAGCATCCTATTATACTATATTTATTGTAAAAAAAATTTATAGTTTAGATTATTTTCGCATTTGTAAATCTCAATAAGTCGAAGTTCTTGTATACAACGTAATCTATTTTAAATAAGTATGTCATTTTAAACATAATTGTCCGCATGCAAATGTTGAATTGTTACTTATGTTTGATTATTTTGTTAATTTGTATCATTGCAAGACATTCTACAGAAAATAATTACATTTCTTATTTCCAAGCTACTTGTATATAAGTGTTAAACATCAATACCTTTTATTATTCCTCATGTTTTAAATTTTAGATTACATATATAATGATAAGTTAGGAAGATTGTATTCATTTCAGGTATGATAGTGTTATTTTACATAGTCAGTATTTTTGATTATTTGCAAACATATACATCAAACTTAGTATTTCGTAGTGATTAAGATCGATCCCCTTTATCATAATACACAACAGTATATTAAAACTTATCACTTATAATTTATGATACATTAAAAAAAGCTCTAACGATGTGGACTCGATGTCTTCCAAGAAAACAAAAATACACCATGTAAATAAGTCTTTATATTATTTTATGAGGGATTTTTATTTGTGTGTGTGTAGTATAATATAAATCACTTCATAAAACTATATTTAAATTTTTATAACAATAACTTGCTCTGTACCCTGTAAACTTCCATTGATAGTACGATACTTGATAGTGTATGAGAAATTATTAATTTTGTAGCAAACACGAATAATGCACACTTGTATATGTTTTAATGGGATCG